CTGGTCTCAAACCTGTGGGCTCAGACAGTCCTCTCACCTTGGCCTCCCAAAGTGCTGGGATTATAGGTGTGAGCCACCACGCCCAGCCAATCTATGTTTCTTGATTACCACACACATGGTTTTATCGCTAATAAGATTAGTGTTCATGGTAAAGCTCCTGGCTCAAAGGTATTGCATATTCCAGGTAACCTGAAATTGTATAGGATCTGCCCAGTCTGCTGATTTCCATGGAGTGAAGAAACAGGCAATTAAAAGCACAAAAAGAATCTGTGCTGAATAAAAAAAAATGTTTACTTATAGTCTGAAAACTGGCATAAAGAACTTAGTCTAAAATAAAAACGATGTTCATTTCAGTTATACAAGGATATGTAAATTTCAGTTACATAAGATAACCATATATCCTCTTAATATATAAGAGGATATTGAATACTGGGAATTCTATTTTAAGAACAAATATAGTTATTGATATCAGCTCTATTTTATTCATTTATTCAATAAAATTTACAGAAAGTCTAATATCATTTTTCATCAGTTTTAGGACACACATTTGCCATATTTTAATATCTGTGAGATTGGGAATCGTTTTATATACCTGACACTAATGAAAGATGGCATGTGTTGAGCTCTGGGAACAGTAAGATGAATAAGACTCATCTCATATCTGCAAAGTTTTTGCTGTATAGGGGAAAGGCTTATTGCTCAGGGAATAACAAAATAAATAGTTTGGAAATGTGGTTCTGACCTTTACAGAAGGGTGAGATTGAAGGCAGAAAGACAAACTACTTTGGAGGATAGTATAGTCATCCCAGAATAACCAAAAACAAAAACAAAGAATGTTAAGTATCTGAATTAGAACAAAGACAACAGAAATAGAAAGAAGTGGGTGTGCTAGGGGATATTTTCAAGCAAAAGAGACAGAATTTTGTGACTAATTGATATGTGGTGGTCATGGATTAAGGGGAGCAGTCAGAGGTGATTGCCATGTATATTCTAACTTGAGTCACCAAGTTGATAGTTGAGGTAAAGACCATAGGAGTTCTGGGGGACAGCAGGGAGAGAATAATGAATTTGATTTTAGATATCGTGGTAGGCAAAATGATGCCTCCCAAAGATGTCCACCCCCTCATCACCACAACTGTATGTGAACTACATTGGCGATGATAGTTATGGTGGTAGTAAAGATAGTGATAGTACAGTGTAAAGTATGCCGAGAAGGAAGAGACAAGCCACTGGTGGTTAAAAAGGTTTATTAAAGAAAAGAAAAGGGGGGAAGTGGCTGACTCTACAGAGAGAAACCAGCGACCTTTGTTCTCTTGGAGGCCACTTATAAAACCCCAGTCTTGGCTCACTGGGCTCTGAGAAGCGATTTTAGGGAGTTTGGAATTGAGAACCAAAAAGTGGTTTTGGGAGTTTGAGTTGTCAGTCGTCTGGCCTTTAAAGGTAGATGTTGGTAGTGTTGAAGGCTGTTCTTACAGCCTTGGGGTACAGATATCCACACTAAGCCTGTCACACCTGTCTCTGAAACGCAGGCTTAGGAAAGCAAAACACTGACAGTCAGTACCAGGATATTATCAGTCACATAGTTTTGGGATGTTGGTCTCAGGAAAGCAGATATTGGTAGTAAAGTAATTAGTAACAGAACGCTGTTAGAACAGAGTGTTAGCTTTTTGGGTCATTGTAACTCTGTGCTCCATTTACAAGGTTTATATGATGAGTTGTTTTAACTACAATCTCCTCTCCCATTCCCCTACAAACCCTATCATGCAGTAGCAATAATAACAGTTTGCCAAGATTCCTGATCTGTTTCTATGTGTCAGGCACTGTGCTAAGAACTTTATATTCATTATTTAATTTTATACCTCTCTTTGAGGTAGATGGTATATTGAGCATGTGAAAAGAAAAACTGAAGTCAATTAAATTTAACAGTTTAATTGAGAAAAAAACAGTGGCAGCCACTGGTTTGGTGAGACTGGTTTGATGAGACCAGGACTGGTTTGGTGAGACTCCAGGACTGCCATGTGGCTGGAAACAAACAAAAAAAAAAGGAATGCGAGATACAGAGACAGGAGAATGTTTCCAGCTTGGTGTTTAGACATGGTTTGAACAGTTGGCCATCTATAATTGACTAAAGCTCGGCTACTGTAATTGACTGAGACTCAGCTATTGAAATGATCTAAGTCAGTTAATAAAAAATTTTAATCGCTAGCAAAATAATAGTATTAGCCAGCTTAATATAAGTAACTCCATTTTATTTAAAGCTTCCATCTTAGTTGCCTGCCTGACCTAAGAATAACCTCTTAATGCGTACATGTGATTGCTGTAATGTTCTCATGACCACAAACCCCCAGGTTTGTCCCCTTTGGGCAGGTCATGGTGCTGATCCTTCCTGCTGACTGTTACTAAACTCCCTAGCCACAAGCTCCATATACTTGTATGCTTTGTTAACTGTAATCAAATGTCCCAAGAAATTGTTAAGAAATTATTCCTTGCAAAAGCCCCCTACCACATTCCTGAAATTTGTTCCTAGTTTAAGTTCCCCATTGTTTTTAGTTCCTCTTACTTCAACCCCCCCCCCCCCGTGCACTCCCTGCTGTGTAGCCAACATTGCAAATTTTACCTATAAAAACTTGTCACAGGCGAGGCTTGGTCGCTCAGGCTGTAATCCCAGCGCTTTGGGAGGCTAAGGTGAGTGGATTGCCTGAGCCCACGGGTTCGAGACCCGCCTGGACAACTTGGCAAGTCCTCATCTCTACAATAAATCAAAAATTAGCTGGGCGTGGTAGCATGCACCTGTATTTCCAGCCACTTGGAAGACTGAGGTGGAAGGATTGCCAGAGCCCAGCAGGTCGAGGCTGCAGTGGCCGGGAGCGGCCACTGCACTCCAGTCTGGATGACCGAGTGAGACTCCAACTCAAAAAAAAAAAAAAAAAAGAAAAAAAAAACTTGTCACAAACAGCACAAGTTTGTCAAGAGTTCCTGGTATGAGCCGCTCTTGACTGCGTGCTTTAAATAAAGGACTCTTCATCTGAAACTTGGCGTGCTGGCATGACTTCCTCTCACTTTCTCAGTCATAACACTATTTGTTAACAAAGATAAATTTCTATGTTAGGTTTTCAGTTTGTGTAATACTAAGCTAGAGTGTAGTTTGTTTTGTAGGACTTACAGGAAGGCTTCTCAAGGCTGAACTTAGTCTGATTTAACAAACATCAGATATGGGTAACCAGAATCTTAAAACTGTTAAGTTACTTGCTCAAGGCCACACTTGTACTTGGTAGGGCACAGACAGGCTGTAGTTATACCACAGCTGCTTGTGAATGGGACAAAGGAAAGGTCTGACAGCTGGAGTTCAGTGGGTAGCTTTGAAAGTGAAAGATAATGAAGACATTTAATGCCTATTTTGTCTTTTTCCTTTCCTTCTTTCACTGAAATAAGAAGTGTGGTTGTTAGGTAAATGTTTTAAGACAATAGAGGATCTGAGACCTAAAGGAGATTAAAGTTTTAAATATTCATCATTAATAGGCATGTGAGCCAATAAGGATTGACTAAAAATACTCTTGTAACAAGAGTCCAGTTGGAATGGAATTTGTTATTTTTTATGATATCTCTGTACATTTTAACAGTACTGGAGCAGGAATAAGCATTTGAGTAACCTGAGAATGACACTGCAGACTCTTTAAAATTTAGGAGTCATTTAAAATATATGTTTATCATTTTCAATTGAAATTCACAATTTAAAAAAACCATATGTGCCTCTGTAAATAAACTTGGCTAGTGTAATTAACAATACACTTTTACATTGGACCATACGCTTGCTTGAGTAATGGAAAACCAGGCATGATCTTAACCTAGTGATTGTATTACACATATCATTATTAGATGGTAAGGCACAGAAGCCAGGGTTCAGCCAAAACTGACCTGTAAGTTGGGTGTCATTCATGAGCTCATTATTAATTATAGCATGTTTTAGACTCTCTTTTATTTTATAAGCATGAAATGAACATTTTTATTTTGCCTTTTTTATTTGTCTCAAATAAGAGAATATATACAATTATGAACTATATCACGATATAATTTTAGATGTGTAAGCAGAAACCAAAGTTCATTTCTATGGTCCAATTTTATATTATATGCCATTGGGTAGAATGAGTTAAGTGCCCAGGACTGTAGTGAAACTTACTTAAAATTGATGAGAAGATATATTTTGTTTTTAAAAAGAAAAAATTTAGAAGTTAAGGAATTCTTTGGGTCATTGAGGATTTCTTTGTAAACCACAGAATAGCATATATAATTTTATAATTAAAAATTTGGTTATATTTTCTCCTAACACTCGGCCCATAAAGACATTTGTAAATATTGACTTCTTTGATTAAGTATTGTTTGCTTGAAGAAGAGAAAATTTTATTACAGCTAATTAGTATTTGTGAGAAACTCACAATTATGAAGGTTTCTTGCATAAGGTCATGTTTCAGGCTTTTGGAATCGTTGCACAATTTGTCAAATTCTGGTCATTAACTTTTGGGATTGTCAATCCCTAAGATATTTGGATATATTATTTAATCATAAGTTATTATCAGACACTCAAATATAATTTAATTTGCTAGATATATTGTATTTGCCAAATCATCTTGTGTAGATACTTGCCAGTTTAATCTGAGAGAGCATATTTGGAAATTTGTTTGCCTCGTATTTCTAAAGTATGATTTTACACAACTTATCTAGGTTTCTGTAGATACTGCCCATGGTTATAGCCCGCGGGCCATTGACATGAGCAATGTTACGCTCTCCAGAGACCTGCACGTAAGTACAATTCATTTTTTAAAATATCCTCCAAATTTAATTTTTAAAAAGCATACTATAACACTTTTCTGCATGAATTGTTTCATTGTGATGATCATATAATTGATCCATAGAGTTTATAGATTGTGTACTCTGCTGTTTTAGTATTATGTGAAAGTTGGTCATATGAATTGGGTCATTCTTTTCATATCCGACCAAAACAGGGTCAAGAAGCCAGGTGGAAAAAGCACTCAGGACACGTAACATTTCTCCAATAATGTAATTCTGTACAAGTTCGGCTGCTGAAACTGCCTATTGTTACCTGAGACCAGTTTTATATATATGTGCTGAGATGACGTGCTGCAGTTCAGACTAATCTTGTTCATTGTCATCACCCTCCAATCAGAGCTTGCCAGCTCCTGAAAACCTTACCAGTGACAGTGGGCATTCTCAAAGAGTAATATATAACACTTCCTTTTTCAAAAAATAAAACCTTCAATCTTCTCTGTTTTTCAGACATACCAAAGATTACCTGGTCTGCGTGTATGCCTCAAATTGCAATTATTTCTTCCCAAATAAAACATTAAATTTAGAGATTATCTCTACATTTTTATTTTGACTTTGACAACTGTCAAAGTCTATATAACTTTTTCTAAGATGCTTCCTCCACATAGCGTATTTTCCTTAAAGATAATTTTCTTTTTAAAATCCTATCATTAAATAGCTGTGTGTGAGAAGAGAGTAAATAAATAACGAATAGTATTCTGCTGAAGGACCACCTTAGTTACTTATTTTAATTGATGCCATTTTACTACCTCCACTCACAGTCTTATCTGTTCTTTTAAATGACATTTGAATAAAATATAGAATGTGTTACCATAGAACACGTTAACATGTCAATATGGTATTTAGTGATACTGACGTTGTTAGAAACTGCATTACTCCAAGAGAAATAAGGATGTAAATATAAAATTTGACCCAAGTACGGTGGCTGATACCTGTAATCCCAGCAGTTTAGGAGGCTGACGTGGGAGTAATTGCTTGAACCCAGGAGTTCAAAACCAGCCTAGGCAACATGATGATATCTCTTCTCTACAATTTTTTTTTTTTTAATTAGCTAGGTGTGGTTGCATGCCTATGATCCCAGCTACTCAGGAAACTGAGGCGAGAGATCAGAGCTTAAGGCTGCCATAAGCCATGATTGTGCCACTGCACTCCAGGTTGGGCGACAGAGTAGGACTCCAACACTTCTTCTCTTTCTCTCTCCCCTACCCCCATATATATATATACACACACACACATATATATGTATATACACACATATATATGTATATATATGTTATAATGTATAATGTATTTTACATATATAATGTATGCATTGATAAATTGTTTGGTTTGCTGTTTGTTATTGTTCCTGTATAAATGTTTTAAAATGACATAGTAAACTTGAAAATTAAAATAAGTGAAAAGAATCACACAGATAATCTTATCAAAATACAAAAAGCCACAAAGATGAATGTGGCTAATTTAAAGTCCCTCACCTAGTTTGCATGGAGATTGCTCTAGAAGTTACGTCATTGTCCATTTAATGTTCTTTGTATTCAGTGTTTAGTAGGGTTTAGGTCATCTTTTGAAGCTTTGGAAATTAAAACAAGAACTTCTAAATAAATATACTTTTTGTGGAAGTCTACTGCTAATTTGAAGTTTCGTTGTTGAATTAATAAAACATTTCCTTTAAACATTATGAATAACAACGTTTGTTCTTATTGAATCACCTCTACTGTTTAGCTACTGTATAATAGTTCAAATTATTAAAATTCTCTGGAATTCAGATTCCAAAGAAGAGTTGTGTTTGATTATCCTTAGTGTATCTCAGCACTAATACTCTGTGATTTACAGCATGTTTGCTATTACATATTAGAAAGTAGTATGGTCCTTTTAAAATTATTGAAATAATTGATATTTTGTTCATTTAAGGCATGTTTGATATTACATATTAGAAAGCAACGTTTTTTGTGTTTGTTTACATATTGAAGTAATACATATTTTGTTCATTTAAGGCTATGGCAGAAATGATGGCTGAAAATTACCATAATATATGGGCAAAGAAAAAGAAAATGGAGTTGGAGTCCAAAGGTAATATTTTCTAAAAGCCTTTATTAAATTTCATCAGAATTCAACTTCATGAGTATATGAATGAAATAATTAGTCTTTTTAACAGAAGAGCTTTTTGTACCTTTTCAAAATTAGTATAGTTCAAATGTGCCCATAAGAGATTCAAGGTTGGGAGTTCTATAATTTCCTGGCTGCCAGTGTCTATTTTCTTGTGTCTCAGAATTTCAGTGGCTCTCTTTTACCCATTTTAGTGCATAGATAGCTATACTTCTCATCCTGATATTCGAGGCATTCCATTAATTACTTAGTTCTTTCTTCCTCCTGACTCTTTCCCAACTTAAGTATCTCTTATCTCTTTTTATTTTCTACCTCAGCCTCTTTCTTTTGTCTAGTCCAGCTGCATTACTTTTACATACCTCTGCTGGCTCTTATCTCCTGTTATCTTTTTTTCCAAATATTAAAATGACCTAATAATCTCTTAGTCATTTCTCAAGTCTTTTCTTAATTCATTTGCATAAATATCCTCTTGAATGTAATGTATCCTGTACTGGTGATCTCTTTCATTGTTATCTATTTGACATTAGTCTATACTTTCTCTTTAATGACTTTCCATATGAGTTTCTCTTCCACATTGGGAATATGAGTTTTTCACGTTCAGAGCCACAACTTTTTTTATTTCTTTTAGAATTCTTATTGTACAGTTCTGGGCACCAAAAAATATCTTCTATTTCTTAATTATTAGAATAGGTAAAAATATAGGGGGCGGGATTTTGAAGGGTGGAGCTATTTCATGGTGAAAAGTATAGCTGTAATATGGAAGGATGATATCAGGCACCAAGTGCTAGAAAAGAGAGTAACACAAATTAGGATTGTTCACTGAGAGGAAAGGAGAGGATTTTGCATTTTAAAATGTGACTCAAGGCTATGCCCATTGTTCCAAAAACACCCCATAAATGTTTGTTAATGAATGATTACTTCATTGGCCAGCTGATGGATAAATGAATGAGCAAATGAGCCAAGAGTTTTGCTTAGTGAATTCTTGAAAGGACATTGCCCACAGGACTAGTAAACAAGATCACCATTTGTGACATGAGTGGATTACATGGAAAAAAATCTGTTCCCTTTTTTCCAAATATGTTTCAGTTACCCTGGTTGGGTTAAAATTAAAAGTCATAAGCAGTTATTACAGGTGAAGTATGTGTTATCCAAAATGCTTGGAACCAGAAGTGTTTGGAATGTCAGATTTCTTTGGATTTTGTAATATGTTCATATGCTTACCAGTTTAGTATCCCAAATCCAAAAACCCAACATCTGAAATGGCCATTTCCTTTGTTCACCAGGTGTATGCTTAACAGTTTCAGATTTTGGAGCATTTTGGATTTTTGGTTTAGGCACATTCAATCTGTGCTGTTTTTCCAAATAAGTATGCTAGAAAATCATCATTGCTTTTAATATCTGGGTTAGGCATTGGGTGTCCTACAGTGAGGGTTTTCTTTAAGTCAGCCTGTCATAAAGTATGAGACATCCATACAAAGTATGGGATAGCCACAATTCTGCATCCAGCTTGTATTAGCCCAAATTCACATAGTGTAGTTGGGAGACTAACACAGTTGCAGCAGACTAAATGGTGACTAGGTAAAATTAGTCCTCACGGTCTTTAGACCTTCTTCTGAAAACAGGTGTCTCATTTTAAAAGAGGAAATGAATTGTGTAGGACCAAAATGGCAGACCAATAAAATTGTTAAAATGTCGTACTAGATCTTGTCTTTAGGTTATTGAGATTAACGAAACAGAGATATAAGTCTTGGAAAGATTGGCTACAGATTGTGGATAATTTCAGAACAGAAATGAAACATATCTTTTCTCAAATTTATTTTCTCACCTGAGGACATTCATATTGGAGAGGATCTTTATAGCCAACCGTTGTGGGCAGTTTTGTCCTGTCAGCTCTACCTCACTGCTGAGAAGATCTGAGTGGGAGAATGGGAGGTGCCTGGTGCTGTATCTTGGTGCCTGTGTGTTTGTGTGTGAAAGAGAGGGAGGGGAGAGGAAGGGAAGGGAGGGAAGGGGAGCCAAGGGGGAGGGGAGGGAAGAGGGGAGCGAAGAGAAGAGGCGAGGAGAGGGAAAGAGAAGACCTGGGAAATCAGAAACATTAAAAGAATCAGTGCCCAAGCTTTATTTCTACCTGCTCTGATCTACTTTATCTCCTGCATCTATAGGCAGAAGAAGAATCTGCTTTAGAAAAGCACTCTTTTGCTTGTCTTGGTCATCTGGTCTTCAGTGCTCTCTCAGTTCACTGTAGGATTCTAGAAAAGTCTGGGGGAAAATCAGGTGTCATACCGAGTATATTTTAATAGAAAATAAAAAAGTGAACATCCAAAATGTATGATGAATGCTCCTAAATTAGTGAAAAATGTCAAGAACTAGTATTTATTTCTATTCTTCTGTCCTCACCACCACTGTAAGTATTTTATACCATGGTGATCTGTTGTCAAACCATGGATAGCTCTAGTATCAAGCATTTTTTTACTCTTTAGTATGAATGGGTTCAGGAGCCCATGCTAGTATGTTTGACAGTATCCTAGAAATTGTTACCTTCTCATTTACTTCTCCATGTAGCTAGTTTCCTTCTGCACAGAACATCTGCACTTATAAATGGGAAACATGGGGGTTGGAAAAGCAAGGTAACTGTCCCACAGTCACTATTAAGAGGCACAGCCAAGACATGGGTTTCAGCCTACAGGTTGACTTCAAAGTGTCTGCCCCATCCAATTCAGTCGAAGTCTGATAAGGTGAGAAGCAGTTCAGGGTCAGAAGGTACTTGGAATTCTTTAAATTATAGACATCTTTTTCTGTCTTCTCTTTCCTTACGACCTTTCCCAGGATAACACATTGGTATCTGCCCCAAAATTATTGTAGATTACAAATTAAGTTGCCAAATGACTATGATCCTCTAGTACTAAATGCAATAATTGAGTTCAAAACAGGTGATGGTTAATTAAATTAGGATGATTAAATTAGATGCTTGATTTTAAAATCCTTTTTTTGTTGTTTTAATTGACACCTAATGTACGTATTTATGCATTACAATGTGATATTTCAATACATGTAGACAATGTAGAATGATCAAATCAGGGTAATTTGTATATCCAGCATCTCAAATATTTATCATTTCTCTTGTTGGGAACATTCAAAATCTACTCTTCTAGCGGTTGGAAGTTACAGTATATTGTTGTTAATTATGGTATTCTTATATAGTATGCTATTAAGTAGTATCTTTGATTAGGACAGAAGTGAAATTTGGTTCCTAGTGTACTTAGTATCCTTGTGGCTGTTCACAAAACATTTGTTAGCATTATCTTCTGACAACAATGTTATACTTGAGACTATTAATATATGATGAAATAACTGATGACTCCTTGGTATTCCTAGTATTTGTTAGGTTGGTAATTCCTGACTGTCTCCTTGCGTTTATGATAGTATAGTGTCACCTAATGGTAGTAGAGTTCACTGGGTGACTGAGTGTCTGTAGATGGTACTCTCAGTCAAAACCAGCTTTGGGAAAATAGGAGAAAGAAAACACTTTCTCCTGTGCATTTTTGCCTCCTGACTTATTGCATAAGGCAGATTCAACATTTATGATTGTCTCATGGCTAAACTACATTGGAAAATGACTTAATAGGCTGTATGCTATTACCATAATTCAAACATAATATTTACTCTCCATTTTTTCTTCCCAGAATTCCCTTAGCAGTTGTATTCCAGGGAGATGTAGTATCCCTTGCAATATTTATTACCATACATGTTTTATAAACTTTGAATTTGGGACATACCATGCTATTCAGTTTGCTACTACTTTAAGAGCATTCTTCAAGTCAGATCTTTACATCTGAAATTGACAGTGCATTTTAAAATATTTTTATATTTTTTTACAAAATTTAAACCTCTATACATTTGTTTCTCCTTATTAGCATTTTTATTTAAATACTTCATAGACTTTTTAAATCTAAAAGAATAGAATGCTTTTAATACTTCTCTCCAGAATAGGTATACTAGAATTCTAGATTTTTGGTAGAAGTTACTTGCCAAAATTTTTTAATTATTCAAGTATTATATACTTAAGAGTGATCAACTTTTAAGTTAGCACATCTTCAAATTGTTTTGCATATTCATAAGTCATGTGACTATAACAAACTCTCTGATCTGGCAGATGTACATTTTTATTACACCAGAAAATGAAGCATAACCCCCAAAACATCCCTTATAATTTTACTAGATCCATGTTTTAACATATGCGTGTTTTAACATCTGCGTCCACTTTCCACATTCAGATTTGCATTAAACAGAGAAGAGAACACAGCTGCTTCTTCCTCATTGGTGAATGCAGATGTCATTGGCACCCAATAGTACAAATGCATATATGTTCATATTTTAACTGCATCTTAGAAAACATATGCAGAGTCTTTCTTTCCACATGTTCCCTGAACTAATTGTACATTAAAAGCACGAAAAGCAGAAGTGTCTTCTATGAGTCTTATATGCTGTATGGATTAAGAACAGATACAAAAAGGATTTTAGTATAGTCCTATCATATACCTTCTGTGTCTCATCTCAGATTGTGTTCTTGTCCTGCAATTCTCTTAGGTGGTGGAAACCATCCTCTGCTGGTCCCCTATGATACACTGACAGCCAAAGAGAAAGCCAAGGATAGGGAAAAGGCACAGGACATCCTCAAGTTCTTGCAGATCAATGGATATGCTGTATCCAGGTAAATGTACCCCTAGCACCAGTTGCACACTCTTCATAAAACTACATAGTTAAATACCCCCATCAGATTTAAAGCTGAAAACAAGTACAATGATCTGCTTAAACCTCAGAGCTACTATTTGGTATGTTCAAAATACCCACATCAGAAACATTAATGCAAACATGAATGCCTTTAGCTGTTTGCCACATTCCTTTTGCAACTTGTACTAAATCATCATCCATCATTCAGGCAAAATCTCTAAACAAAAAAACCACACACAGTTCTTGCAAAAGAAACATTTTATTGCATAGTGATAGTTATTTGTTGCAGTTTTATGCCAAGATACAAAGTATTCCTTATAAATTAAATCTCCTTTCCCCCTTGAACTATAAAAATATTAGGCCAGGCTCGGTGGCTCAGCCTGTAATCCCAGCACTTTGGGAGGCTAAGGCGAGTGGATTGTCTGAGCCTGTGGGTTCGAGACCCAGTGGGGCAACTTGGTGAGACCTCGTCTCTACAATAAATCAAAAAAATTAGCCAGGTGTGGTAGCGTCCACCTGTAGTTCCAGCTACATGGAAGGCTGAGGCAGAAGGATCGCTGGAGCCCAGCAGGTCGAGGCTGTGGTGGCCGGGAGCATGCCACTTGTACTCCAATCTGGGCGACAGAGTAAGACTCTAACTCAAGGGGAAAAAAAAAAGAATATTAGAAAACTTCAAAAGTTATACATGTACACACACACATACACACACACACAAAAATTATACACACATTTTTTTAAACAAAATTTTGCCATCTAAGTAACTGTACAAATTTCTTTCCATACTTTGTTTTTGCTGTTCCAGGGGTTTTAAGGACCTGGAATTGGACACACCTTCTATTGAGAAGCGATTTGCCTATAGTTTCCTTCAACAACTCATTCGCTATGTGGATGAAGCCCATCAGTATATCCTGGAATTTGGTAGGTACCGTATTGCCATAGCTAATAGCCCAGTTTTTGTTATTCTTAATGTTTATCACATCAAGGTATAGAATAGCTCAGACTACTGGACTGTTTTCCTCATGGTATAAACATATTCTATCCATTCTAGTACTCAGTAGAGTCCAACAGTCAATAGACAAACAAGTTTTTAGTGAGTGGGTAAAATTTGTGAACTTTTAAAAAACTAACATGTCATTATTCTCTCCTTATAATGTGTATTGGAATTACTTTTCATTTTGAAATACTCAGTAGAAAGATCAAAATCTTAAGGTAGAGTTAAAAATTTCCTATGAAGTTAATTGCTCTGTTCATCAAAAAGCCCTCAATTTCTGTGGGATCTTGAAATTTCTAAGCATTGTAAAGTCCTTGAGTTCACACTTTGTAGGGACACACATTTATACTAGAGTATTTACAGTACAAAATACTTTATTATGCTTTTAGGGTACTGTGAAAGCCCTCCTTCCTATCTGGCCCGGAGGCACCTCAGAATTACAAATGAACAAACAAACAAATAACCTATTGCTTTAGATTCAGAACAGATCATCAAAGCAGCCTCCCATCACTTCTGTTATATCATGATCCTTTGCAGCATTGCTGAAACAAAATTCAGCTTGTTAATTATTCACCTTCATGTCAGATCACTTGGTATGGATAGTTTGATTCCTTTTGAAAGGAGTATGCTCCTCTGGTGCTTATTCTTTTGTATTTTTCCTCTCAAGGTTTTATGTTTGTTTTTGTGTTTAACACTCACTTCTGTCTTGCAACACCTTTTTCTCTGGACACATTGTCCTGAGTCCCTCAGCTGCTGTTTTTCTTAGGATTTAAATTCAGTTTCTGGCACAACATCAGATTAAAGTTTGTAGAAATTTAATTTCTGTTATTTTCTTGCTTCTGGCCTTCTGTATCCTAAATTCTATTAAAGATTTTCCTGTTGAGCTTTGTTCTTATAAACAGTTGACCTCTCTTTTAACCTACTTCTTTATCTATAGTTACAATGCTCTGCTATCACTCTCTTTCTATCATCTTTTTCATAAAAAAAATTCAGTATGCAAACTAATTTATAATCTATAATTTCTCTGTTACTCATAAAACTAATTTTTAAAAAAATATTATTCTTGGTTTATCCTCATAAGTTGCCAGATCAGTCTGAATTAATGAAATTTCACCCAACACCAAAAACGAGGCAGTGGTGATTTTCTTGACACTTTCTTGCACAAAATTAAATATTGTAGTTTTTGATCCATATTTGAAAGAATCTGATAGGAGTAGCAACTCCAAGATTCAGTCTTCTTTTTGGAGAGGCTGGGAGAGGAGGGGAAATAGGAGTAATCATTTGGAGACAGGAGCAAGAAAGTTGTTCTGTTTTGTTTGTTTTTGTTTTACCTTCACATGGAGAGCAGAAACACAAATTTGAAGGGAAGAAATATGTTTAGGTACTATTTATACTTTATTCAGATTTCTGAATAAACTCTCTAACACGCGGTTGTGTATAGGGAGGGTGAGACTCTTGCCATAGGACACATTTACCCACATTTCATTTTTTCCACAGTGGGAAGAAAGTAGCATACAACGACAGAGCCCAGTGAAATTTCACAATTCTCTATGTTATACATACCCTTTTCAGATGAATGTGCCAGGGCAATTTATGTGTAAGAACTCTGTTAAAGGTGCAGATAAAGCTGTGAATACCAACACCATCATTTAATTTCCATCTTTCATTGTTATTACAAGTAACACTGCTATATTGCCTTCTCCCTTTATCTTTCACTTTATTGACTTTGCAACACATCATAATTTCCTCCTTCTTAGACCTAAGCAGACAGTAATAATAAGAATATGCATATATCTTTTTCTAATTTTTTTGTTATACCATAGATTGTATTATCTCTAAATCTTATCCACAATTTACACATAAGCATTTTTAAATGGGTAGTAGAAGATAAGGTATTTCCTGTTTAATTCCTTGGAATATTAGCAGATTTGGTTGTGCACAAAATTTTGTACATACTTGACATACTTTACATGAGAAAGTTCCTTTATGGATCCAGCCATTCTGCATAATGTGCTTGAACGAGATTTAATACCGAAGTGATACAGAAATGAAATTTGCAAGTGTTAAAAAGTCATCATTTTCTCTTACTTATTCAGGGGAAGAGCATTGTTCCAATATTACAAAATATTACCTAAATTCCCTAAAAATTATCCTGAATTTATGATAAGACTTGATAAAGCATATATCAAGTTTTTTGTTTTTGTTTTGCAAAATAACTTTTTAAAGCAAAAGTCAGTTTGGTTCTTATTTTACTAAAATCTGACATCCAATTCTGAATTTTTTGGCTCTCCAATATGTTCTGCATATAGTCATGGTTATTATAGTTTATTATTATCTCTCCTGTATGCATGAAACCTCTTCCATATTCACAAAGGAGAAAGGCCACCTTCTAAGCTAAATGCATTAGGTTAATGAATTCTTAACCTTGGATAATTATTTTAAACCATGGGGAAAACTTGGATGTTTTTGCTTCACTTATAGACATTATCTTTTGACATAGGTCATAGCTTCTTTTCATTCTTTGGTGGAATGTTAATTTTCCAGCCTAATATTAAAATTGTTATCCTCCTTCTCATTATATACCCTGACTTCCTGCAGTTTTCCTGTTTTTGCATATATTAAAATCGGAAGCATTAACTTTCAGTCACACTGAGAGGTAACCATCTTTATTAGAGGCCAGAGTTAAAATTTAGCCTATTAGATTTATTCAGTTTACATTTACTTTCCTCTCCCCAGTGTGCTTCTTTTCTTACAGGCTACTGAAAATGTGGGACTTTTTCACTTTATTCTCTTTTCTTCCCTACATATCAATAAGATCTCATAGCTACACAAGTGTATTTGTGCTCCTAACTACAAGGATGGACTGTCCTCAGTAGCTTTTGTATTTGGATTGGAGTATTATTTTTTTTTAATCCTTGAAATTTTGTTGTTGTTGTTAATTACACTGCCAGAGTTTGCCTTTACATTTTTGGTAGGCTTATTTTTATATTCGGTTTAGTGGGATAATACATTTAACAATGTGTTGTAAACTTTGCATTTTGGGTGGAGATCTTGTAATGTTTAAAGTGAAACATGTACCTAAAAAGTCTTCATATCTACAGATGGTGGCAGCAGAGGCAAAGGAGAACATTTCCCTTATGAACAAGAAATCAAGTTCTTTGCAAAAGTACAGTATACGATCCATTTTGTTTTGCTTCAATGTTTGTTTACAAAATATACTCATTGGATGGTTGCCTCTTTTCAGAATGCTCTTGTTTACCAATGTGAATTTTATTACAAGTAAATATTCTGTGACATAAAAATAAGTGCATGAAGTCGTACTCCCAGCACTCTTGATCACACTTTAACTCCTTCCACATTCCCTGTCATAGTTCTCTTCACATGACTTCATTCTATCTGTGGGCTAATTCAAAGTCTAAATACATTGACTTTATTGTAAGACATAGAAGAAAAATATCTAGTTCTTAACATTTGAGTATAGTTACATTTAAAATTTTTAAATGAAAATTTATTTTGTAAGTAGGAAAAGCATTAGTTAATTTTATGAGTACAGTACAAGAGCCTTTAGCATAGAATCTTTATTGTGGGAACGTAATCTTACTCATTTTACAGAAGTTTAAAGGATAAATTGTTCATATACAAAGTATTTCCCATTGTTATTCATTCCACTTCATAAGGATTTCTTAAAAATTTTCTATATTGCTGGAAAATTCATCATTCCTTTCAGCCAAAAAGGGAAGGAGATGAAGAGTTGCAAAGTCTCCATGCTGGTTTAGTTCACTTACTTGATTATCATGAAGACACAATGCCCTTGGATATGCTTTCCTGTTTAGGATACCTGTCAGTGAACCTGAAGACCTAGTTATTGCTATTTCCTTTCAAAATACTTTTTTTTTGAGTTGGAGTCTCACTCTGTCGCCCAGACTGGAGTGTAGTGGCCGCTCCCGGCCACCACAGCCCCGACCTGCTGGGCTCCCTCTGGCGACCCTTCCGCCTCAGCCTTCCGAGTAGCCAGAATTACAGGCGCGCGCTACCACACCGGGCTAATTTTTTGATTTTATTGTAGAGATGAGGTCTCGCCTGCCCAGTACTCGGTGATTATTACCGATAATTTGCTCTAAATACCATTTTTAAATTGCATGCTTTTGATTGGTTAATATTTGGCTTCCAGTATGTTTTCAAAATCGTGGTCCTTTATTGCAAAACAGATTTCTATTATCTTTTCTTTCCACTCAATATAGCAACCAGAGTCTGTTCCAATCATCGAAAACTCCAAAATTTATCCTAGGGTGTACAAAGTTAGCGGTCGATTAGTAGATAGAGATTTTATATGTATATATATAAAATGGATGGATATATATCCAGTCTCTGCTAGATCAAAATCCCCCTTGAGAGCAGATTACAGAATGCTGTATTTATTGCTTCTAGCCACACCTTTAAAATGCATTCTTGTGTGACCCATATTCTCAGCTTCCCTAGTGATTTTGTTTATACATGCTTTAATGTGGCTTAATTTCTACTAAGTCTATATAATTCATTCATTCACCATACTGAGTACCAATCTCTAGATTCAGGCAGTGTCACAACTGTCAAGGAAGATCAATTTAAAACTTTTCTATTCCCTACTATGTACAACTGTACTAGATAACATAATGGTGGGGGGTAGGTACATTTAGATCGACTTGAGTTTGAATACTGGTAATGCCAATTGTTTTTTCACTTATTCATTCAAACACATTTATCTAGTACTTCCTATAGGCCCAACACAGCCCTTGGAGGATGAAATGGTCAACAAAACAGACCAACTAGCAGTCCTGGAGGTCAAAAAAGGATTAAAATGGGAAAACAAACCCAGAAATGTGTCTTACTTCTTGTATACCTTATATGCTCCCAGGAAGAGAGGTTTTAATCCAAAGTCACACATATAAGATGTAAAAATGCAAATGATGTTGTAAGAGCAGAGAATAAGGGATTTTATCTGGTTAACGAGACCGGCAGCAGCTTACCTGATAAAGTGCCACTGAGCTGAGGTCTGCAGAGAGAGTGAAGTAAATAGGTTATGGAGCAGGACGAGCATTGCAGACTGAGGAAATGGCATGTGCAAAGCCACCTGGCCTGAGTGGACAGCGTGAGGAGGAGGAAGTGGCCCAGGGCCAGCAGGATTGAAGGCACCCTGAAATGGGATGTAGGTTTTGATAAAGACCAGGTAAAAAAAGCATCATGTGGGCAAGTAAGTAGCAATGTGACTCTGAGAAAATCATTCACTTTCTGTGTTGCCAGCTAATACCTAGAAAACCGGGGTGATGGTACCTACAGCACAGAATAGTCACTATAACGAATGATACTGTGTCAGTCGTTATTCTCACACATAGTAGAGACTCGTATATGGGAGTCGTGGGATATTTTTGTGCCTGTTGGTCATTGGACATTATTATATACAAAACTTAGGCTTTCATCTTGAGAAAATATTGAAAATGCTGGCCAATACTTCCAAACTGTTGAAAGTTTGCTTGTTCGCCATAATCACATACCACCACATCCTGCACGCTCCCTGCCATACATGAACTGGAGACAGCAGAGTGAGATTTAAGCGAGGCAGACTGTGACACAGTGCTAAGTGGCATGGGTATGAGGGGGGTCCCGTTTCATGTGAACAGAACTCTGACTGCTCCAAAAGCCCAGTTCTCATTTGTCCCCCAAAAGATTTCACTATGTTGATCTGTTTTCTTTTCCTTTCTTTCAGGTCGTTCTCCCTCTAATTGATCAGTATTTCAAAAACCACCGTTTATACTTCTTATCGGCAGCAAGTAGACCTCTCTGCTCTGGAGGACACGCATCAAACAAAGAGAAAGAAATGGTGACTAGGTAAACAGCTATAACAATACCTACTGGCCTTTGAGTTAAGTGTATGTGCATTTGGGAAAGCTTACCTGAGGACCTCGGAGTGGGAACAGGCGAAGAGTTTTCTCCCATCCTCTCTGGTTCCTGTCCTTACGGAATCCAGCCCTGAGGAGGACAGATGAGACATGTGTCCTAGCTATTGATTTCTTTATATTTTGCTGCTAAATGTAATGTTGAATAGAAGGAATAAAATACCACCAAATACAAAATCTATAAGTAGAAGCTAGAGGTGCATCTCCATTATTGTTATTTGTGAGAAAATGAGACTTTTTGTTTTTTTGAGTTGGAATCCTCACTCTGATGCTCAGGCTGGAGTACAGTAGTAGCATGTTCATGGCTTACTGCAACCTTGACCCATGACCTCCTGGACTCAAGTGATCCTTCCACCTCAGTCTCTTGAGTGGCTAGGACTAAAGGTGTGCCACCTACATCTGGCTAATTTTTTTTTTTTTTTAAGGGATGAGGTCTTACTTTGATGCTCAGACTGATCTCAAACTTCTGTGCTCAGGCAATCCTCCCATCTCAGCCTCCCACGGTGGTGGGATTACAGGCGTGAGCTACCACACCTGGCAATACTTTTAATATTAGTTTCTTTAACACTTCACCAAATCTCATATTTTTGCCAGCCTTTATTTTTTTTTTATAAAGGCAAGATTCCATGTACATAAATTTAATTTAAATAAAAAAAAACTAATTACCAGTCTTGGAAGAAAATGAAGTAAAGATACGTACTTTCTGAAGGTTTCTCCTCATGTCAAACAAGCTGGCATCTTAGCAGTGCTTTCTCGTTTCTGTTTAACCTCAAGTCTTCTCTTAAATTTGTTTGCAATTCTGCTGGGGATTTCAGGTCAGTTTCCTCAAAATTCTTCTAGAACTTAGTATACATAAGAATCAATTACTGAGCAAGTCTACTTCTATATTACTACATTGCTAAAAAAAATCCATTCAGATTATATCTGAACCAAACTGTCAAAGAGAATAAACAATATAATGTAGAATACTGGACAAAATGCAGGCTTTCCTTGATTTGATTTTAATGCTATGCTGAAAAGTCAGTGCAATATCAACCTACTGGACTCAGTGAGTTGAGAGTGAATATAGACTCACCAGAGTGGGGAAAAAATAAGATTCCTGCATTGCATAACACTGGGGAATGCAACTAAATGAAATTTTCAGCTCATCTCTTTGTTGTCTATTTTACCAACTAGTTAATGGACCATCATGTGATATAGGACTACAACAACATAAAAAGAAAGTCTTCAACCCTCTTTAAATAATTTTCTTATGAAGTGATTAAATTGATTGTAGTTAAAGTAACAGAGGGAATCTATTACAAAGTGCTGCTTTCCGAGATATGAATTCTTACCCTTTCTCACTTTGGCAAAGCATTTCTTCCCACCTTCCCTAGAAGGGAGATTGAGTGGTCCCTCATCATTTCACAGGCACACTTATCCACTTCCTTGGGTCAAGGTCCCTCAATGGGTTGTATATTTCTAGACAAGTAGCTAGAAAACCCCAGGGCACCAAAATACCCTTAACATCATGAAACTGAGGCTATTTGAAAGTCTCCTCCGTGGGGCCTGTTAGCCTTTTGTAATAAAACTTTGTTCCCAGAGGGTTTTGTTAATTTTGATGTCACTTGATTACATAAATCAATAGAAGATACTATCAGAGAATATAGAGAAAAATACAGATAAATTGATGCAAATACTGCTTTTTCTTCCTCTCCTGTCTCATGTTTTATTATCTCCACTTAATTTCAGCCTCACCCTTAGAATTATTCACTGGCCATAAAATATGCCACTTTCAAAACATCTAGGTATGCACATTAAATATATACAATTTTTATTTGTTAATTATACCTCTACAAAATTGGAAAATTTCATAGACCCGTACACCAAAAAATATTAGCCAATTTTCCTTTACAGACTCTGTATTCCTTTTAGAGTAAATTAGAAAAACATTGCTATTCTCTGCTAGGCTTCGTTGAGATCATTCTGGGGCCCTAGACTACCTGCTTCTCTAATGACACTGCACTAAGATGTTTTTATTAAGTCATGTGCCGTGTAATGATGTTTTGGTCAGTGACTAACCACATTTAAGACAGTGGTCCCATAGATTATAATACCATATTTATACTATACCTTATAGATATGTTTAGGTACACAAATACTATTGTGTTACAATTGTCTACTGTATTCGGTACAGTCACATGCTGTACAGATGTGTAGCCTAGGAGCAACAGGCTATACCATATATCCTAGGTGTGTAGTAGTCTGTACCATCTAGGCTTGTCTGTGCTCTCTAAGATGTTCACACAATGATGAAATCGCCTAAGGATGTCATTCTCAGACCAAGTCCTCATCGTTAATCAACACATGACTGTCTTTCATCCGCAGTTTTTATTATTATAATAGATAGAGAGTTGGTCAAATTTGCCTCATCTATTAGTATTTCCAAAAAAGGGAAAACATGGCATTAAAAATCCCAGCACATAGAAAATGAGATACATAACAGAAGTAACTTATTTTATTACAGTACTTTAGTGCCAAATATAAGTAGAGTTTAACTTCAGAGAGAAAAATATCATAGATGAAAAAATGAATAAGGAAATGATAAATTATCGTACATGTATACACAAAATGCTGTGTAGTCATTAAAATTATGATGGCTATGAATATCTAATAAGTTAGGAAAATGATCATGATAAAAGATAAAAGATATGTTCAAATAATATTGACCTTAAAAGAAACCCTAAATTTATATGTATAATAAAATACTAGTAAGCAATAAACTGAATTTTAACAGTTGTTTCCTTTAGGTAGTATATTGTAAATTTTTTTCCTTACTATTTTCACGTATTTTCCAAGTTTTTTAAATGAAAAAGTCTTTTATAATCATAAAATATGTTTTAAAATAACAAATAGCATGATCACAATAATCAAAACCAGCTAGATAATTTATTTGACATGTTGAAACAGAATTACTAAAATTTATAAATACCTGATTTCTTACCACTTAATCTAAATATTATTTCATTGAATAAAATGGGTAAAAAAGAAGATCAAGTTGGTAAAATCTGACAAAATAGGCAAAAAAAAAAAAACTGGCCCTGCTACTGTGAATGGAAAGCATATCTTCACCCACATGATACAATGATTCTAATTTGTGTTTAACAGCTATGAATAGCAATAGTTTTGTGGGCCTAAGTTAAAATCTCTACAATTAAAAACTGACAATTCCATAAGATGTTTAGATACTTTCTGGCACTAGAAATTATATGTTTGAGCATTTGATGTGTTTAAAGTCAGTCCTATCAGGTCTGGAATGTACCTTGCAGTAGCTAACACAGAAATATAGCCCCAACAGAAGAAAGCCAAGCAGTGATGTGGGATTCAAAGTAAAATGAGACTACATTGGGTGATTATAGAGGGGCCAAAGATTTTTGGAAGTTGTACCATTCAAAGTTGACCATAAAGGATTTGTAGGTTGGAGATTAAGGTAGGAGAATATTTTCTAACTATAGATAAGCACATCATAAGAGAGTAATTTAAATGTTCATTATATGAATGGTAATGGATATTAATTGCCAGAATAAGGAATCTTCTTTTTAAAAATGGTTAGTAATTGCCAGAATAAGGAATCTTCTTTTAAAAAATGGAATTGTAAATTATTTTTTACTTAATTCATAGGCACTGAGAAGCTATTGGAGCTTTTTAAGTGAGAGAATGATTAGAATGTCCTTTCAGGATAGTCTGGCAGCAAAAGTAGGATTGATAAAGGTGATAAAATTGATAAAATTGAGAGGCCATAGTGGGTGATGGAGAACCTGGCAGCAGCCCAGGCTATTGTACTGGACGTGCTGATTCAAACAGGTGGTGCTGTCCATTGATTTGTTCAGCAGATATTTCTGCATGCCGCCCATGTACAGCATGCGCTCCGTGACCTGAGGATAAACACACACACAAACACAACAGCACAGTTCCTAGCTTTAATAAACTTAGAAGTGCAGCTGAGTAGACAGAGCTGAGTAGACAGTAGACAATGCTAGAAGTGGTGATGGGTGTCAGTAGAGACATTTGTAGAGTTCTGAGCTTGTAGAAGAGATATCAACACAGGGAGGAGCTGGATACAGGAAAACCAGAAGAGAGAAAGTCCACTTGACTGGGCGATGAGCAATATGGCCTGCAGAAAAGAATCTAACATGGTGCTGAAGGTTCAACTCTGGGTAGTTGGAACATCGTTGCTATCACTGAAGAAACAACAGATTTTATGAAGAGAACTAGTTCTGAGAAAAAGAGGCTAAAACTGGTGAGGAATGTATTGAGGTATAGGTACTGGCAGGTCATTCAGCTGGAGACATCCAGCAGACAGTGGGAAATGGGAGTGTTTGGTGCTAGTTGAGAGATTAGAGTAAGAAACACTGTATTTGGGGATCATCTGTATAGAAATAGCGTTTGAAGCTCGGGAAGTGGATGAATCAGAGACTGGAGAGAGAAGCCAAAGGGTCTGAATACCAGTACTTGGAGAACATTTGGAGGGTATTCAGAAGTGGGTCTTTAAAGAACATGCAGAATGATTAATGAGAGAGAAAGTTATAAGTATTGCTATAAGACAAAATTTAAGGGGGATAAGCTTTTCAAAGACGCAGTAGTCAACAATACCACGTCCTCTAGAGAGCTCTCCAAGAAGTAGACTGAGAAAAGGGTGGATAGATTTGCCGGTTAGGACCATTAGCTTCAAGGGAGTGACTTAGTACAAGGCAATGAGTAAATGTTGAGGAAGTGTAGATGCACTATAAAATCTGAAGAATGTGGTGATGATGGGAAGCAGAGAAAGCAGAGAGCAGTATTATAGAAACTATTTTTAGAGAAAGTACAGGCTAAAGCATACAATAATCAAACTTTATAGTCTATATAGAAACTGCACCCTGCAAGAAGACTGCACAAGGATGGGTATGAGATATGATTTGTCTTTTTTGAGGATCTAGCCTTCTATTTCAGTGGAATGGAATGTCACGTAGTTCTCTTTCCAATTATATTAAAATATCCTAGGCTGGGATTAATTGAGTTAAAACTTAATCCTAGCATTATAAATTCAACATCATCAAGAATACCTCAGAATGTTTCACCCTGGATACTAAAGAGTCATAGGTAAGATATCACTTAAAATAGATTGAGATACAATGTAGGGATCCAAGGTTTATACAATTCTTTTTTGCTTTCTTTCTTTCTTTCTTTTTTTGAATTGGAGTCTCACTCTGTCGCCCAGGCTGGAATGCAGTGGCACACTCATAGCCACCCCAGCATCGACCTGCTGGGCTCCAGCAATACTTTCACCTCAGCCTTCCAAGTAGCCAGAACTATAGGCACGTGCTACCATGCCCAGCTAATTTTTGATTTATTGTAGAGAGAGGTCTCACTAAGTTGCCTGGGCTGATCTCAAACCAGCTGGCTCAGGCAATCCATTCACCTTGGCCTCCCAATGTGATGGGATTACAGGCTGAGCCACCGAACCCGGCCCAAAGTTTGTACAATTCTAAATGTAGTTATTGTCGTTAGAAAATGACAGACCTTGGTTGAGTTAGCATGTGCAGTGGTCAACCATAAAGCTCAGTAGATGAGGGCACCTGGAGAAGGTTGCTTTTGTTTTATCGTCCTTAAAATATATATATATATATATATAGAGAGAGAGAGAGAGAGAGAGAGAGAGAGCGCACAAAGATAGTAACTTCACTCAGTAGCTAGTTGAATAGATCATTGTTTTAAAAACTTTCAGGCTGACAAGAGATTCCCCAAAACCTCAAATCCACTCATTTCTGGATGAACATTTTCTTGGAAAAGCTACAAAATACCCTGTGTAATTAATTGTCATCAGTAACCTAATCCACACTGTTACAGAGGTAAGGTGTGATGGCCAAAACATGCTGTATAAGAGGCCAGACTCAGAAAAGTGACCTTCTCTGTCCTCTTTCTTTCCCCCTTCATTTTATTCTGTGGCTGATAGGAATCCCTAATCCTGGTGAGCTGTATGTTTGAGCCCTGCTGGTATGGGAGAGCTTTGCAAGAAAGCATGGGCAGTGAGGATCTAGCTGTTTCTATTATCAGAGAAATCAAGCTGAGTGCTATACAAAGGGATCTTCAAGGTTATTGTTCTGGTGAAGTGCTCCCAGAGCTCAGAAGAGTGTGAGTGGCTGTGCAAACAATGTCAAGTTGCAATCTGGGAAGTTCAGTGCAATACAGAAATTCATAAATGACCTCATGAAGCAGCTGGGGAGGGACCTCTTTCAGCTTGGGTTGGGAGTGGTACAGGAGTGCTGGGTACTCAAGAAAGGCTTCTTGGAGTAAACACATCCTGATTCCTGAGGATGGGTAGAGAGTAGTGTAGCATGGAAGTGAAGGGTATTTCTCAAAAAGAGGGATCTCTGAGAAACCTGAGGACGGTAGGAGGGGTCTCCCAGGTTCTGTGGTCTGATCTGAGAGTTAGTGGATCCCAGGGCTGACATGCTGAATGTAGAATGCAGGAAACCCTTATATGGAATCTCCCACCACTAATTACCTTGAAGGACATAAACACCCAGGAACTTGCTCTAGAGGAGATAAGAAACATGCTCAGTTTCTCATTAGCATTAAGAGACTTTTAAGTTATCATACCTGAAATGTTTTCCTCTAGATAATTATCAGTTCAAATTATGTTCCCACCTCACTGTGTTTAAATTCATTGGATATTTAGTTTCCATGTAAGGACTGTGTTCAAGATTGGGAAAGAAGAAAATTTCAAATAATAAAGCGTACAAAAACATCAAGTAACATTTTATAACCAAAGCACCATATTTGTGTTGTTAAATGATGTTCATAGTTGTTTTGTTTTGTTTATTTAGAATCCAGTAGTACATTTGGGCAGATAAAACTGACATTTTTTTTGCTTGTGATTTTTCAGTAGTTATGTTCTTATGGGATTCATATAGATTGCTTTTATATTAATTAGCTTTGCTTTCAATTTTTTTTGGTTTCTTAGAATATGTGCTTTTTTAACCATGTTTGTTAAAGATATGCACTCAAAGACTCTTTCTTTAATACTTTTACTCCACATTCTGCTCAGAGAATTGATTCTTTCTGCGTGACATCATATTGCTTTTTTCCGGCTCATATATCAGCTGTTTGTTTTTGTTTTTTTTCTTTTTTCTTCTTCTTTTTTAATTTTAAAAAAATTTTCCCCTGTCTTTTCTACCTTCCCTGCCCCCCTCCCTTTTCTCTTTTGTTTTTCTTTTGTCTTCAGCCTATTCTGCAAACTTGGAGTTCTTGTCAGGCATAGGATTTCACTATTTGGTAAGGAGACCCTTGAAAAAATACGAGCATGGCCATCACTTGGTTTTCTTTGCCATTTTTGCACTGTGTTGTGTGCTGCTATGTTGCATGAATGCATGTTTGCATGGCTGCATGCATGGTCGTCATAGGCGAAGATAAGGTCCTGGAGGTTGTTTATAAATAGCATTATTGATGATAAACTTGAGGACTGCATCTTTTTTATACTAGTCCAAAGCATAACTGAAAATGAAAAGATTGTGTTATTAAATTGCAAATAATGAAAATGGCAAGTTCTGCCATATTTTATTTCAGGGGTTAAAAAAAATACCAGGCCCTTGGAATTGTGTTGTGTTCTCTCTGATAAATTAAATAATGAGCTGTTCTAAATCATAATTTTAAACTGCACTTATTTTTTTAATGCTCTTGACTACAGATTTGCATGTCTACTGCATTCCAATGTTGGAGCTTCATAGTCGAGACACCGAAGCCAAGGAGCTTTGGCGCTTCACTTGGCAAGAGTGGCTGTTGTGGCACCACTCACCCAGAGTCAGTTTGTTTGTTTCTGAAAGTTCATGTAGCTGAAGTCCCTGTTCCTGAACACCTGCTTCTGGACAGCCGTGCAGGGTGGGCACTCACTTTCTGCAGATTTTCCCTGCTGTAGGGCTTTAGGAATCTATAGCAGCTGATGGAATTTGTGTTTCTTGCACCTGATTTTTTTTGCTGCCAAAGCAAATATGAGCCCTTTGCTCTATAAGTTTTGAGACACTGTTGGGGGTAATTTTAATAATAAACAGTTTAGTGTATTGATAGAGATGTTAAGTTCAAGTCCACTTACAGGAAAAGCTAAAGATTAAAAAACTTTAGTAATTTCTACAAAGGCATAGTGAAGAAACTGAGTTATATATACAAATAACATACAAATAACTTTTAAGTTCTTTGTATTTTTTGTAAAATAATCATTTCTGGATATAATTAGTTAATGCCATTTTTGGTTTCTAGCATTATTATATTCAATATCGGGTGCTCTTAAATTTAGTAATTAACATTTATATTTCAAATAAATTGCCCAAGTTTTTACATTAATTTTTCAGTTATTTAAAATCACTGGGGTAACTATCTTCAGAATAATTTCCAGGTGACTGACTTTTGCTTAACTTCTCTTCAACAGAGAAACCTTTTTATGAAAATTATTGAGACAGGATTTTTATGTACTCTTTAACCTTCTCGGAATAACAATGCATTTAAATATTCTCCATTTGTCTGCAGAGAGTACTGTCTAATTATATATCTAGCTCTGATGAGGGACCTGTTTCTCAGTTGCAGTTTTTGCATTCTTATTAATGAGCATAATATTACTTTCTATGGTGCTAGTTCTAATTTCCTACTTCTTGTATATGCTTATCTTTCTATGTTAGACCTTGCTAAAATTTCCTTTTAAAAATTTTCTTGAGATTTCCCTTACATACAGTAAGAGACGCAAATCTTAAGAAGAACTTGAAGTTTTACATACATGCACAACCATTTAACCATTGCTCAGGTCAAGACATAGAACATTTTCAACATCCCAGAAGTTCTTCTTGTACCATTTTAAAAATTATAACCATATCCAAAGGAACTGTATGTAGCCTTTCATTTCATGGATTACTTTTGCCTGTTCTTGAACTTCTATTTTTCTTTTCAAATATATCATTTAAGTTTAGCAATTGAAGATAAATGTGTAATATAATTTGTTGTACCTACTAGGGGAGAAGAATTAGACTTTTTCACTCTTTCTCTGTGTGATCCTAGTGTTCCGTTTAGATAATTGTGTTTCAGATCCCTTAGCCTTTAAATACTATTCCTTTTATTTATTTATTTATTTTTTGAGTTGGAGTCTCACTCTGTCGCCCAGACTGAAGTGCAGTGGCCGCTCCCAGCCACCGCAGCCTTGACCTGCTGGGCTCCGGCGATCCTTCCGCCTCAACCTTCCAAGTAGCTGGAATTACAGGCATGCGCTACCACGCCCGGCTGATTTTTTGATTTATTGTAGAGATGAGGTCTTGCTGCCCAGGTGCGTCTCGAACCCACGGGCTCAGGCAATCCACTCATCTCAGCCTCCCAAAGGCACGGGATTACAGGCTGAGCCACCGAGCCTGGCTACTTTTATTTTTAACAGGAATTTATTGGAGACCTACTTCTCAAAAAGTGTATTTTTGCACATTCTTTATATTATTGAAGTGTCTGCTTTGATTATTGCTTCAAACTTGCTTTGGCATTTGCCTGTAAAATAATATAAACTTCAAGAGACCTTTATTAATCAAACATACTCTAATATAGTCTTGTCAAATTATTAGAATCATGAAGTCATAAACATTTAAACTTTACACAATACTATTATACCCTGACTTTCAACACTAATATGATGCCCCAGAGAGAATAGTAGACTTTGAATCAGAAAACCCAGATAGTCCTATTTTTATAACTTAACCAGCTGAATGATTTAGACAGTGGACTTAAATTCTGCATTTTTTTTTTCATTTTTAATATAGATTAAAAGAGCTCCTAATCTTAGAGCTCCATTTTATGTATCAAATTTAATGTAAAATAATGAATATTGACATACTATATAAATGGCAACTTTACAGCTTCCAAAAGGTAGGGTATTCTTAGTCTTACTCAATTTTATTAATTACTTTGTTTAAATCTCGATTCGATCTTACTTAGATGAATCAAATTTCATACCAGCAAAACTAGGATATGCGCAATGAAGCCTTTATAATCTATCCATTTCAAAAATGAATCAGAAGTGATATAACCCAAGTATTTACTTTTTTACTTATCAGTTAAGCTATTATGGGGTTTCCCCAAGAGAGACCCAGTAGCATATGTGCAGTGCTTGTTTGTATGCAGTTATATTCCTCTTTTATTTTTTCCTTTCACTCTGCTTTTTCACATCACTTTTCTACATTCTGACAGGAAATAAACTGATTATCAAAATCTTTCCTGTACTAACCTGAATTAAAAGCACTTTCATGAACTAACCTAAGAATAAATTAAGACAGAATTGAAAGTTGAGATTCACAAAGAAATACTTGAGTTTTTTGACAATGGATTTAAATAAAGAGATAAAATACTTGTCTAGATAGTGGTAATTATGGTGAGTAGGGTTTGATGGGTAATAAAATACTTATTCCAAGTTGGCTGCCAAGCCATACCTGTGGTTGAAAGAGTTTTCTGACACAGGAGTAAGGATTCCTAAAACTTAGACTTTTATATGTGTTTGTATTTTTGTCTACTTTAAAATAGTTCCTTTACACTAAAGCACTCTATCCAAGAACTAAGATCAACCATGTCCTAATGCCCCATCTATTCTTGTTGAAGCATTTAAACCATTTCATTTTATATTTTTTAAAAGTGGGACAAGTCATATTTCCCACAGAATTATGGTGTACCAATTAGAATGCTTCAAGGAAAGAAAAAGAATCTTGTTTAAAACTAGACTCCCAGCCGGGCTCGGTGACTCAGCCTGTAATCCCGCGCCTTTGGGAGGCTGAGGTGAGTGGATTGCCTGAACCATGAGTTCGAGACCTGCCTGGGCAACTTGGCGAGACCTCATCTCTACAATAAATCAAAAAATCGGCCAGGCGTGGTAGCGCATGCCTGTAATTCCAGCTACTCGGAAGGCTGAGGCGGAAGGATCGCCGGAGCCCAGCAGGTCGAGGCTGCGGTGGCCAGGAGTGGCCACTGCACTCCAGTCTGGGCGACAGAGTGAGACTCCAACTCAAAAAAACAAACAAACAAAACAAAAAACTAGACTTCCCTGTTTGAATTCTGAAATACTTGCTAATGATTGTAAGTTGGTGCACACATGAATTTTGGAAACTCAGGTGGGACAGTAATAAGACTTAGGTAGGTCACCAAGTGATAGAAAGATCCCATTTGCTATTTTCAAGGACCCAATGTGGGGTAAAGAAATGCTGCTTTTATTCCCAACATTTCCCCCCACTTTTGCTACCAGGAAATTCTGACTACTAATTTCAAAACAGAGGATATATTACCTCCTATTACTGTCTTTTTGGACCTTTTAGTGATTTTTAGAGGAAGCAAAATCTGGTAACCTGTGGTTCCAACAGTAACAGTGATGGTGGCCCAGTTGTATACCATCAGAGCTTCTTAAGGGCTACTTTTTTTTTAATATGAACATAAATCTAGCCTTAGTGACATCAAGTTTATGCATTCATTCAATAAGCATTTATTGTGTCTGCCATGTCAAGACATTCTCTCAGGATGTTAGGAAGGAAAAATGAATATTTCTGTCTTTCTTCACTACTGAACTGAGACCAGTCTGCAAACATTTTCACCAGTGCTATACTCCAAAGAGCATACCAGTCATTCTCTCTGAGTCTCCTCTTGCCTTTCTAAACTGTGCTCCACAACAACCCGATCATATCTCTTCAAAGCACCAGCCTCTCGTATCACACCCTGCATAGTCAGCGGCTTCCCATTTCTTTAAAATAGTGATTGGATTTCTCACCTTGCCATGTCGGTGCTTTACACTCTGTTCCCTGTACCACTGCCTCCTCATTTCCCAGCATGCCCTCTTGCTCACTGTGCTACCCTGGACTTCTCTCTGCTTCTTGAATGTGTTGTATTCCTTCTTGTGCAGAATCTTGGCACATGCCATAATGACTGCCTGAGATTGGATTCCCATACATAACTCACTCATAATAAACTATCCAACCTTCAAACTTCAATCCTATTCTTCTTCTTCTAGGAAAGGCATTTCTGACTTGCCTGATTATACTGCCTCTTCCTACCATTGCTACATTCTCAAGCTCTGGGTTCCTTTCCTTTGTCACTGATGATGTCTCTCTCTCTCTCAAAAACTCTTTGTGAGGGCTTATTGTTGTCTCCCCAGCACCTAGCAGGAAATCTGGCACATAGTGGGTATTTTATAAATATCTGATGTATGAATGAATGAATGAACCAACCAGGTCCTGCCTGCCAAAAGCCTAGTGTGTATTAGAGAAGACAGATAAGTA